GAACAGCGCAATATCAAGGACGACTTTAAGATGCTTCCGATTTCTTTCTATAAAGTCATGATCATGTGCCTCCTGGTTCATTTGGTCAACAACATTCCCCCTACCTGAATTGTGGGTTCCCCTGTAGCCTTCAAACCTGCTCATTGACTTGCAGTGGGCCTCGCTTTTTTCATGTCTCTCCAAAGACTTACGCAGGTGCTTCCAGTCTTGATAGCCATCCCTCGTGAATGCACCTTCAGCTCCTGGGCTGGGGAAATGTCTGCACATTTTGCAGAAAAGCGCGTCTGTACTTGTGCTATATTCCACCCAGGGAAAATCTCCATACCACCTCGATGAGAAGCACCTTGCTTTCCCATAATTAAGTGTGTAAGGGAACTTCTTTAATTGTGGCTGTGAAGGCGGTTCATCAATTGCAGACAGAACGGGTCGGGTACACCTGCTTCATGCTGCTGACGACCAGGAGCGGGAGGGAGCACTGCTAGCGCCGTGGAGCAAGCGGCCGTAACAGTCTCAGAATCCGGACTAGTCTGAGTCGGAGAGCCTGGCCCTGCTGGATCGCTGCTAGATGAGGGCAGTGGGGGCTCTTCTTGCAGTCTGGCTTTTTAAAAAAAACCAAAGTTCATAAGTGACCATAATTTATTTTGCAGGTATAGCTCTCTGCTTCTCTCCCGTTATTATCGTTATTATGGCGCGCGCCGGAACCAACAATCAGTTTTTACCGTAAATGAGTTCGGTTCAGAGGATAACACATACAACATTAATTCAACTCGATATTTGTTCACTTGAATTTCACTTTGAATTCTTGGATATTCTCAATGGGTGAATACATTTTTTTATAATAATAATAAAAAAAATAAAAAAATAAAAAATTACACTGAGCTTTCTTAGGGTGGGCCAATGAGACAACTGGGTTGGCCTGGGCCCACCCTGGCCCTTTGGTGGCTACGCCACTGAAGCACACCCAACCAGTCTCTTCTCAATAACCCAATTATCAATCTTTAATTGTAAATAGAACATGATATTCAGTCTTAGTGTGTGTGTGCAGAAGTATTATTTTAACCTGTTGAACCCCATCGACCCGCCCCCGGGCGGAAAAACGCATCATCTGAAGGAAACAGCGTCTGAGCGGGCTTCTTAATATTCAATAAACTATGAATGTTTCATATCCATGTAACGGGAAGAAACTCAGTTAACTGATCTTTTTTTTTTTTTGCAAAAAAAAACCACAAAGCTAATGCTGAGCCTCTGAATTAGTCACGAGCGAAAAAATCTTAAGGCCGTTAGCACAGAACTCTAGCTATACTTATTGGATCTGCACAAACAAGCTTAGATAACATCCTGAGAGTCCACAGATTATAGAAATATAAGGATCATCACTGAGTGATCAGAACTCGTGACAGGGGAAGCAAATACAGACAACACACGGAGATATGCTCACTTTAGCTGTTATTCTGATCAAAAGTCGTGTTCAATGGCATTAAAACGAGAAAAAACGCGGCTGAAGGTTAATCCATAGGTTAATCCGATGTGTTTGTCACTTAAAAAAAATTATTGATAATCCATAATTCAATTTGTATGCAAAAATCAGAGAATACAAATGAGCTGCTAATGGTAGCCACCAGAGTGTGTCACAACTCCGGTTTTGGCTATGCATCACTCTCACTCCTTATTTGGTAACCTGTGTGTGTATGTGGAACTTTCCCTCGATTCCATTGGCTCTTAAAAAGAGATGTCAATCATCAAAATCGACCAAGGGAGGCCAGAGATATGGAAAATCCACCCAAATGGCCCCAGAAGTGTTTTTTGTGTGCTAAATCTCTCTAAAAAGATCAAATTTCACTTGTTTTGCATCAATCTTGATACAGGGTACTTATTATATGTTGCACTTTGGATTCCTAAAGCTTGTAGTCTACCATCCCATCATTTAAGGGTGGTTTTCACTATAAGTAAAACATTTTTTTTGGACGGACACTATAATTTACAGTTTTTTACTATTTTCAATCTGAATTTTCTTTAAAATAAAAAACATCTATATTGATTCTGACTTTTCTGCATCCAACTCACAGGTTTATCATTACTTTGAGAAAAAAGATTATTAATTTAACCCTTTTAGAAGGGAAGATATAGTCATTTGTTCTGGAAATGTCATTTTCGAGCCTGAGGCCTGAAAAACAGGGATGGTGTTCAACAGGTTTTAAGGAACACATAAAGTTGACGAAACACTCACGTCAAATGTCAACATGGCACATAATACTTCTGCATACAGTATATGACACTTACAGTATATGACACTGCATACAGTATACTTACAGTCTCACATACTGTATGCAGAAGTATTATTTTAAGCAACACATTAAGTTGATGAAACACTCGAGTCAAATGTAATTAAAGTCAGATCGTGTCTTAGACGGGGCAGTGATCTCATAAACCTGTTAATGACACCTTTTTTACCAGCTGTATTCACCTTGCAGGTGCAACTATGTGGCTTTTATCCTGGATAAAGTGTTTAAGTCATGGATGATTAAAGTTTAACTTCGTCATATTTGTCTAATATTATAGTTCACTTTTCATTCATGAAGTATGACGCTGCGCTGTCAGTACGCTTCTCCATGTTTGTGATTGGTAAAATGTTGCTAACCCCGCCCCTTTCATGTGAACGCGCACTCAGCCGGACAGAGAAACCCTGGCTTGAGTTACCGAGTTGATAACCAGAGTCGTAAGACCGCTTAGCGAGAGCACGTTTGTTTTGGATTAGGTAAGCCGGGTAACTCAAACAGATCCAGGGTCTGTTGAACTGGATACGTAGTACAGGCCTCTGGTGTGTTAATGTACACTGGCCTCTGGTGTATTAATGTACACAGGCCTCTGGTGTGTTAATGTACACTGGCTGCTGATGTTCTGTAGTCCCAACACACAGCTTTTTGAACATGCAAGGAAGTACTTGGGACTGCTAAATGTAAAAGGCCACTGAATCAGATATTCATTTAGGGGTGGGCGATATGACGATATATATCGTCGTGACGATATTAGGTCTCCACGATATGCTTTTTCAGAGATATCGTATCTATCGTGATAAAAAAAAAAAAAAAAAAACAGATGTGAAAGACATGCTCTAAAGCTGTCTAGTCAGGATTCAGACAGTATTGCACTTCATTTATTGTCTTGGTTGATTCTGTTGGCTTATTTTTTATTTTATTTGCGTGCATATGAAACGCTAACCATTCCCATTGAGATCATTAAAACTGTCATTTGAACGGCGATCAAGCCTGAAGCCACAGAGACAGACACGATCCCCTGTCCGGCTAGGGTTAGGGTTAGCCAACACACTCTCACTCCATAATCGTCCAGGAGCGATGTTTGGTCAGTGTCCGTGACGTGCAGTTGTGACGCTCCTAGGCTCCTTCAGCTTCATAAAGTTGAAATAGCTTTCAACTGATTGCAATGTATTCCCATCTGCGGCGGGATTTGACGCTTATGGAAGCACGGCATTCGTTTGTGTCGGCTGCCCTTAAAGGCAATGTGAGCGTCCATTCTCATTGGATAACGGAGAATTGTACACCCGGAAGTAAGTATTCCCCTTACTGTCGATTGATTTTACAGTGATATCTGCACTACTCATCGACTAAGAAACACCAGATTATCCTTGTTAATTACACAACATTGATTGGTTTAAATTGTGTGCAATGCTTTTGTATTTTTCCCCTTCGATTCGGAGAAACAAATATTTTTTCTGAGTAAAGGATGGCAGAAGACACTACACTACCCAGAATCCCCAGCTATCGTTTGGACTACACCATGTGCTCTGTTTGACAAACCCTGTGATAGTCCTCAAGCTCTGTGATTGGAGAGTGTGCTCCGAGGGTTACGCCGAGCCTCGAACAACACTTGAAATGGGATGGAACCACGGCAGACTGTCCAAAACTGGATTTGAATGGCTGGGGGAGCGGGAGGGGAAGAGGCTCTCCGTGCGCGGCGCAGGGGGCTATGACAGTGGACGGAGAGCCTCTTCCCCTCCCGCTCCCCCAGCCTCACCTACTGATTTTAATTTCACCATATATCAAGCCCGATCGATTTCACAATGTCAGCGCACCTCTGCTTTCGTGTTGGTAGTTCAGTCCGAGTTGTTTGACACGCTAGTGCTAGTGCTACCTCAGAAAGTTCATTTTTATACTGAGAAACTGTGCCTTGAAGCCATATCAAAATGTTGAATTGTTCATTCAGGGATTCATTTCAGAAATAAAACCAGCTTGAAATGCTATTTTGGTCTGTTACTCCTTTTTGTTTTAGTTTCTGTTACCTTGTAGGTGCTTGTACTGTTAAGTAACTTGAAAAATAACCATAATAACCGACATGAAAAAATATCGCGATATATATCCAGGGCTGCACATAACTGGTGCGCTGGTGCGCATGCGCACCCGCCGCGAAAAAAGGAGCACCGGATCATTTGAAAAAAGGCGCATTTGCGCACCAACATTGAGAGAGAGAGAGATATTTGCGAGTTGTATATTAACTGGTAAGATAGCAGGGTTTACCTGGGCGGGCCACCCAGGTATATTAACGGCCGCCAAAGTATAATTCGTAAGCCGTTTAGGTTTGATTTTTTGAATCCGTCCGCGAGCACGACGGCATCTGTCGATCCCTCGCTCTACCCCCTCGCTATCGTGTGAAGGGTCTGCTTTATGCACTCCGCACAGTAACCCTGCTGCGAGGCTCCGGTGAACACTCCATGAGCGTGCTCACTAGCGCAACTCCCCCCCCCCCCCCCCCCCCCCCCCCCCGTTTATAAAGTCAAGTACCCCTCAAAAGATCCGGTTTATTTCATTTTAAGGATGCGCACCAAGCACCATCTCCAGGTGCTCCTTTGAGAACCAGGGCAAAAAGGTTGTGTGCACCCCTGTATATATCGTCTATCGTGATACTGCTTGAAAAATATCGTGATAATATATTTTCAATATCACCCACCCCTATATTCATTCATGTATGTTGGTTTTGTGTTGCAGTGTAAAATGACATCAAGGCACAAGAACTCCAAAAGAATCGAGGGACTGGACAAGAATGTCTGGTAAGTGAAAAATACAAAACGTCTCTCATAGACTTCTGATCAGGTTAACATTTTATATAATACTGTTATTACTGTTAAAGCCAGACAGATTTCTGATTGTATACAAGAGCTAAGTCAGTCTCTCTGTGAGGGTGTTAGTTACACCTATATTCTTTATGCTGTCTAATTTTACACAAAATGTGAAGAAAGTGGGGGGACTTTTTACTAAATGACAGATGTATTTGTATAACCAGTTTACTTTGTGTCTTTCATTCTGGGGTATTAAAGGGACACTTTGGATAGTTTGATGTCAGGTTGTGTGACATACTTATCCGTAGTCACATGTGTAATGTCTTGTAATGGCCTATTTTATTATATTTATTTATGATCAGGGTGGCGTTCACTTCAGTGGCAGCAGACCCGTCCATTGTTAACCTGGGTCAGGGCTTTCCAGATATCCCCCCGCCTTCTTACGTCAAGGAGGCCCTAGCAGAGGCTTCTTCAGTGGACCGGATGAACCAGTACACCCGAGGCTTTGTACGACTTATACACTAACTGTACACACTCACTCGTAATCCACTACTACCATCACAAAATGTTTTTAGTACCCATCATTATCTATTTTGAATCCATTTAAAAAGGAAAAGTGTTGCTAAGATAATGGAGAAAGAGTTTAATACTTTCTGTTTAACCTTAGGCCCTTTACACTGTGGGATTTGGGGCTTTATATCCCAATCGGTAAAACAGCATTATGAACAAACTGCAATGTAGCTATCATTTATTGGTATGATAGTGCTAAGCTGTCATTTTTTAATAAATCTAGTGATTAGGCTGTACATTTTTTTATTTGTTTGAATTTTTTGAAACTTCTGTTGAGGTTTTCAATTAAGCGCAGCATATCTGTCCATAACAAACTACCCTTTGTCATTATATGCAAGTGTAATTGTTGGTGCAGTTCTACTGCTGCTGCACATCCCCGTTAGATGTGGCAAACGGCAGAGCACACAGTTTTGAGCGTTAACAAATGTGGATTGAAGCAGGATATTTCGTTATTTTCTATGAATGTTGACTTTTTGACTCTGGAAATCACAAGTCTGAATCAATCGTACCGGAAACCAATTCCAATTTTAATTGTAATTCTACTAGAGCTTCATCTTAATCTGCAACAATACTGTCTTTACACACTATTCATGGGAATATCAAAAAAGAAGAAGCTGTGTAGCATTCAAATGTTTATTTAGGCATAAAATATTAACGTTATAAACGAAGCTCTGAAGCTTTTAACTATTCGGTACAGCCAGTGGCGGCGCCAGGGTATGGCTGGGGTAGGCTACAGCCATACCAAGAAATGGCTTAGCCCTACCTTAGCCCGACCATGAAAAAGTATGTTAAAGTAAGCATGTTGAGAACACGGATTGCGAAAATCTACCGGTCGTGTCCACAACACACAAACTGATCCTGCAGTAACAACAAGTGCACGTTACTGACGCAATATGGTTGAGACCATTCAGGCTTATGCTAGAGGGGTGCAAGGAATAGTCTAAGTAGTGGGGGAGTTATATACACTAAATGTGTGGAAATTCTCTCGCGTTATAATATCAGCGTGGCCGCGGTCAGATCAAAATGCCTCTGAATGCAATTTGAATAGACCTACAGCCAGTACTCAAGTTGTAAAATAAAATCAGGGGGGATGGTGGATTTTATCATATGGGGACATCATTTGTGCTGATAACCCGCAGAGGGTGGGAGACCAACCAGCATAAAGATAATTATTATACTCCTAAAACAACATGCATGTTATGGATGTTCGGATACTCCTTTCATTGCTCTTGACCAAGGCACCTCAGAATTAGAGTAGAATAACATTTAGGGTCAAATGCAGAGGACAATTAGGGCAAAATCTTTTTTTCACTTTAATTTAAAGGGGGGGAGGGAATACAAAAATGTGGTTATAATGAAGTATATGGTACAAATCTTGTAGGTTAACAGTCCCTCATTTATTATTCAGATGATCAACTGATTATACTAATAATAAAGTCAAAATAGTTTTTAGAATATTGAATTATAGTGTATTTTTTCAAAAAAGCAGTTACTGGTATACGATCAAAACTGGTATCTAAAGGGTTACATTTGTATCGTAATTAATTAAATCATTATGTAAATTCTTCATGAAATTTTTTAGGAACAGGGCATTAAGTGCAAATTGAAATTGTTTACGAAATATGAAAATATATTAAAAGATTATACAGATAATACAAAATAGGACCAATGTTGTCAATGGCTGCCTACTCCACTCTCCCCCATCTCATAGAAGTTTCCAAAGATGTTCATAATCATGCTTTTTGGTCTCAATTTTTCTGGCTCTTGCTTTCGGATTGTTAGCTAAGCAATGGCTTTGAAGCCAAGTCTTGACATATACCTCTGGTCTGAACTTGTTCAGTGGAGGGCCAACACACTTGATGAAAAGCAAGGCTGACATGCTTTTTACCTCTGCTTCTAGTTGTGGTTAAAATGTTCATCTGACTAAACCCACGTTCACACTCAGCTGTGGAGATGACCAGAGTGTTCACTGCTTGAAGGAGGGGTTTCAGCTCTTCTGGTGCTGGTGGTATCATTTCATCAACAGTTTTGAGTCTTACCAGCTAGCTAACACGAGAGAAAAACGTAGCTAAACTCCAAACTAAGTTGTTATTGCTGCTTATGTCCATAGATTCCACCTTTGGTGACTAAAGTAATGAGTAATGACTAAGATTACTAACTCTTGACTTACCTGAAATGTTATTTTTAGTACTTTTAAATAGGAAGTCCCTCAGATCGCGTTGTCCTCCTGGTCGCTTGGCCATTGTGATGACCGTTACCTGCGCTTCTGGCATCGATCAAACAGGCGCATCACGGCGCTCTGGCGCCCTCTAGGGCACTCGCATAGTATAGCGTCAGTGACTTGGTAAAAATGTCATTGCGTGTGTGCGTGCTCACTCGTCCACAGTATTTTACTCAAAATGCGCAAAATTAATGTTGAAATAGCAGTAATACCAGTGCCATGTTCATTGATACAATTACATAAGGGATGGAAAGGGGGAATGGCAGTTTTAGAAGGGGGATGATTTTGACCGTTTTTATTTCAGGGGGGATACCATCCCCCCTCATCCCCCCTCAACTCGAGTACTGCCTACAGCCAATCAGAGCAACGAAACGTTGGGTCTGCTGCGTCATGCATTACTGATTCGTCATGTTCAGTGAAAAGTCCCCAAACTCGCGCCGAGTAAATTGCAGACAGCAGAACTTCTAGGATTAATTGTATATTTCGGATGGATAGATTTGTTCTTAAACGCCCTCTCATTGAGGTACAAGTCGAACAGGTGCCAGAGTCACACGACCCACCTGAAGAGTGAATAGTGAGTTTTGAATATATTTTGTAATAATGGGTTATTTGAAAAAGTGTTTTGTATGACAATAGAGATACAGGCTACCTGTTGTGTGCTGTGTCTGTCTCTCTCTGTTTACCTGTGTCTGTGTCTCTCTCTCTGTCTCTCTCCCTCTCTCTCTCCGTGTCAATTCTATATGCCAACTTTTCTTGTTTCTGCCGCTGCGTAGCATGTTGTAACAACGTGGAATTAGCAGAATAGGCTATTGTATTGTTTAACTCACACCTGTTGCTCTCGATGTAATTTAGCTGATAAAAGGAGACTAATAAAAGCTAATAAAAGCCTCATGCGTGTGTTTCACTGTCAAGGGGTGCGATATAGCGTGTATGTAATTACATTACAAATACTGACTTGAGCCCCACCACTGTATGGGTTAGCCCTACCATAGATTACCCAACAAAAATACTCTGGCGCCGCCACTGGGTACAGCCCTAAGTATGTTACATTTTTTACAATACACTATTCCCTAACACAGTATTTGCTACTGCCAGAAACCTGCTTGTTCTTAAACTTGTGTCTCTTGTTGATTTGCAAGGGTCACCCATCTTTGGTGAAAGCTCTGTCTCAGGTCTATGGGAAGGTCTGCGGGCGGCAGATCGACCCCTTCAAAGAGATCCTTGTGACAGTGGGAGGTTACGGTTCTTTATTCAGCACCATGCAAGGGCTGGTGGACGAGGGAGACGAGGTAAGGACAGGTGTTTCAAACCATAAACATTTACAAACATGCTCCCTGTAATTTGTTATATTTATGTACACTGTTTCTTTCCTGAGGTTATCATAATAGAGCCTTTCTTCGACTGTTATGTACCCATGGTGCGGATGGCGGGGGGCAAGCCTGTGCTAATACCGCTACGTCTTGTAAGTTAAACCTAAACATACATCTTCCACTTTTACAGTAGCAAAGTAGTTACTTTACTTACTGCATATCTTAAGGATATTAATACATTATAGGAGCCATGACACAACATTTCTTATACATTTCAGAAGTCTGGGAACAAGACAGGAACAAGTGCCGACTGGTTTCTTGATCCAGAGGAGCTCTCCAGTAAATTCAACTCCAAGACAAAGGCCATCATCATCAACACCCCCAACAATCCCATTGGGAAGGTAAGTCTACATCAAAGCCATTACCTGTTTCATCTGAGATATGTAAATGCTTGCTAACTTGATGGGAAAACAAAGCTCTCAGTAGTTCCTGTCGTCTCCCTGCAGATCTTCTCCAGAGACGAGCTGCAGATGATCGCTGACCTCTGTATCAAACACGACACTCTGTGCTTCAGTGATGAGGTTTATGAGTGGCTGATCTACAGAGGACATCAACATGTCAAAATTGGTACGGTCAACATACCCACTGTACAAAAAGAGTAGAGCACTGTTATCCATCTTATATAAGATCCTTTACAAACAGCTACAGGGATGGAAACCTTGAAAAAAGCAGCTACTCTTATCTGACTGCCAAGCTATCTGGTCTCATGCTAGCTAGCTCACTAGCCCTAGCCAGTAACAGTGTTCCACCAAGGTAATGGGAGGCTTGGTAACTGCAACAAGCTAACCAGTTGCTCAGTAGCTAACAGAGAGTAGTGCTATGCCATATACCATAAAGCTAGCAAACACAGGGAGTAACTTGATACATTGACCCAGCACCTCTGCCAGACAAAGGGACAAAAGCTACAAGAAAAGGCTGTTGAAACATTTGAGTTGCAACGATGAATGGAATGTATCCGAGTTAAACCAGCCAGTTCCTTTCAAAATGTCTTTTGAATACTTCAAGGGGACGCACACCCCTTTCATTTCATTGTGTCCAGAAAGCCACTTTCCATATTAAATGCCAGACAACAATCAAGAAAATGTAATATGGTTGAAATCAAGCTGCAATAGAGCTAAAAACAGAGAATTCAAAAAGAGACAGTTTATCATAAGATTCAGTCAGTGCAACTTTTGAAAAAACTATTGTTTAATGCAACTAAAACATCTGAGTGTTATGCATGAAGACAAACACATTGAAAGAATACATCACAAAGACAAGACAAACAGTTTCTCATAAGTAAACAGTGGCTGCCTGAAGACACTAACCTATAGTGCTGTCTCACTACAAGTAGGACCAAATAAATAAATAAAATATACAATATATATATAAATATTGCATATAGCACTTACATTTAGTTTGCTTATTTGAGGCTAATATTCTTGTATGATTGTATTCTTTTGCATGAAGTTATGGCATTAAAAGACATGTCATTCTGACCTTTTCCCCTGTTTTCAATGAGCTGTTTTCTGCCTCTACAGCCACTCTTCCTGGAATGTGGGATCGAACTATCACTATCGGCAGTGCAGGAAAAACATTCAGTGTCACAGGATGGAAGGTAAAACAAAAGTTTATTTAGAACACCATTTTGAATATTCACAAATCAGTTCTTGCACTTATTGATGTTGTTGTCTCCTAGCTGGGCTGGTCTGTAGGACCTGAGCACTTGATAAAGCATCTCCAGACCGTCATGCAGAACACCATGTACACCTGCCCCACACCGCTACAGGCAAGTGTGCAGCTGTAACACAGGTTCCTGACCAATCAGTATTTACTCTGACACTTGTATCTGTCTGTCCCCAGGAGGCGGTGGCTCAGGGCTTCCAGAGGAACCTGGAGCTGATGGGGCAGCCGGAGTGCTACTTCTCCTCCCTGCCAGAGGAGCTGGAGCTGAAGAGGGACCGCATGGCTGCCATCCTGCAGGAGGCCGGCATGACCCCTGTCATTCCAGAGGGGGGGTACTTCATGCTGGTGGACGTCACGTCTCTTAGTGAGTTACCTTTTAACTGACATCTGTGACACATTTACTCTGCTGCTGCGTGCTACCAGTGAGGACAAATACTGCTCCGTGGCTCATTTCTAAAGAGGCAGGTGGTTGGACAGCACAAAGACATTCTACTTCACATTTACTTGGTAACAATTTCAGATTTTCATACTGAACAGTTAATTCAAGAAGTGCAAATGAAGTTAGAGCTCACAGAGGTAATGCATACATTAAAATAAATGCATTCAATTTAGAAATGAAATCTCTAAATGGACATTCTGATGGAAGAGTTACTGGATATGTACAGCACAGTCGACCCGTTTATGGAGAATAAGTCACTGTAGTTTGAATATTGAAATAAAAGACGTTATTTTTTTGTATTTGTGCAACTTAAAGTTATCAGTACATGAGTTCTGTGTTTAGCCTAACTCCATGATTGACATTCATAAAACTCTTCCAGGGTGGACTACTACTGACCCTCAGAAATATAGCAAAGCTTTTAGATCATAATTGTATATTAGAAAAAGGCGATAGAAGTGAATAAAGTAACTCCTGCTGTTTGATGGACTTTACTGTCTCTTCTCATTGCAGATCAGGACCTGTCACACATGGAGGAGGATGAAGCCTACGACTACAAATTTGTGAAGTGGATGATTAAAGAAAAGGTAAATGATTTAGGTTATTCTCAATCAGCTGTCTACAATATCACATTGAAACCCATAGTTTTTTATTGTTTCATAATTATTATATTTCATATAGAAACTGGCAGCCATTCCCGTCACAGCGTTTGTTGGAGAGGAGTCCAAGAAGCACTTTGAGAAATATATTCGCCTTTGCTTCATTAAGGTAAATACAAACGTGTCTGATACAAACCTAAAAGACATTAAACTTCATTTTAGCGGAGCTGCACTTTAGTTTTTTTCTCTTGTGAAGAATGCTCATACTGTCTCTCTCCTAACAGCAAGACAGCACTCTGGACGCAGCAGAGGCCATCTTGAAGAACTGGAGGAAAGTTTAATATGATGAATTGTCTGAAGGCTTCAGCTCGATTTCAGGCAGGAGGAACAAGTCAAACTGAGGGAATGAGATATGACTGTTAACTTAGAAAAGTAAATACTAACAGTTGAAGTTCATACGTTAATAGCTAAATGCTCTTCCACATGTTGACATACTGTTTGAGAGAATCCTCACAGTCACAGCAGGTCCTGTGGGACTGCGTTATGAAAACCGCTTTATGCAAGGTGTTCATTTTGTGTAGTTATTGTGTTTTCAGCCTTTTTGATGTGTACATAGACACTAATTACAAAGCACTTAGTTGGATGGAACTGGTTGCGCTGTTCGGACTTTGTCAAACTTGGCCTTATTTCTCCCTGAAAAAATAAATCACAAATAATGCATATTTTGTTTTTTGGAATAATATTTGAATAAAAACCAACGTGATAATAATAGTATTGAATTTTGATTGTTATTTTTTAAATCCTGCTTTTGTTTTTCACTCTTAAATCCAATTAGTTTAGTTTTTTTCATGAAATGCTACTTAAAATGTTTGTATTTGAAGTCGCTGTTGATAAACACTTCCACATACTTTGAAGGACTCTTTAGGACATATCTGATCTTAATACCATATTTCATCTTAGTTGTGAAGTTGACTGAATTAGTCCAAATGTCTTCCTGTGGCTGACGTGTGTGACATACAGCATTACAGTGGTATGACAACTAGTATTTGATTTAATAATGTTAGTACGGACATTGCAGACATTGCAGAGTGTTGATCTCAGGGTCAGACCTTCACTAAGGTCCACAAACACATGTCACACTAGGAAAAACACAGGTGTCATGATATGATGTCTGTATTCCATTTAGCACCGTTTCACTTTAGACTTTGGTTCAACTACATGATGTCCTTATATTTACCTGGAGCGCTTTTGTTGGATATTGCTCTCTGAAGGTTATTTCTGACTTCAAAAAGAAGTATTGACTTATAATATATACCATTTTTTTTTTTGAAAGAATATTTACTGAATTGCAAGGTGTCGTTGGGTGGTTTGAAAGGCGTTTTTAAATCAAATGTATTATTATTATATCTATATCACAGCAGACAAGCCAGGTCTAATGAATACGACTAACAACAGTTCCCCTACTGACTCCTCTGAATAGAATGCAGCCATTGTCAGGGTTCTTGCGGTCATTCAAAACCTGGAAAAGTCATGGAAATTCAAAATGCTAATTCCAGGCCCTGGAAAAGTTATGGAAAACAATATTTTTCCCAGAGTTTTGGAAAAGTCATGGAAATGTAACTAAAGTTCCATCAAATATAATTGATATGTTTATCTAATCGCCGAAATAGTAATACTATAATGATAATACATACTGTATGGTAATGAAGCGTACAATGGCATTTAACTGACGAGGTGTTTTGCTGGTGAGAGATTTGAGTGGCTTTAGCATGTAGAAGCTAGTAAGCCTGCTATTGGATTTGTTTTAGATAGGCTCAACATGTTTCATATGCAGACCTTATTTTCCTGTTCCATGTTCAAATAAACTATTTCCAGTGGTACTGCTGAGAAAGAGTCATGTTTTGGTCATGGAAAATTAGGTAAAGGTCATGGAGAAGTCATTGAAAATGATTGGTGAAAAAGTGTATGAACCCTGCATTGTTTAACAGTTATTAACACCTGTGAGGTTTCTAATAGGACATGTCATTATATGTACTACAAGGTATTTGTTGTGTGTAACATTTCAACGTTTTGTTTCATCAGTCCCTCACTGTAAAGAACGTTGTGTTATATCCTCCTGACCACTTGAGGGAGACAGAGTACAGACTGTGTAACATATGGTTTCGTAGCAGATATATCATGGAATATTCATCGTTACAATATTTTTCTAACAATAGTCTCAGAATTATCTTAAAATTCAAAGTGGAAAGAAACATGTTCAAAAATCGGGAGGGCTCCAAACATTGTATAGATAAACTGCAAAGCAGCTCTAACCAGTTCAATGTCTTTAATTCACTAAACTTAAATGAAGGTAAAACTTCAAAAGTTATTGAATGTGACCTCATCATTTCTTCATAACACAGCCCAGAGGATCAAATGAGCAGACGAGCTGTGTTCCCTAACCATGACGGGCACAGTTCAGGGAAAGAGTAATCACTCAGAAATGTGTTTGCAAAGAAACAGATCTTTTGTCCATGCCGACAGGTGTAATGCATTTCTGTGGTTACACACAAACCTGGCGCCTTGTTTCCATGACATCATGATGCTGTTTGAATTCAGACGTTCACACAGTGATAGTGGACATGTTAATGTGGAGGTGAGAGGGGGCATTCCTCACCTTCCCCCTGTTGTTCTGACAGAACAGAACTCATCCCCACTGAATGAGAACAACAGAATCATTTCATGCCAAGTAGCTCGGAACGTTAACTATTCACTCTGAGGCTACAATGAAAGAAACATTTCTGCAGATGATGTTTCCTTATAACTAAGGTACTACTGGGTACTACTATAACTACTGGGGTTTACTAGGAGATGGAAGTATAGATAAGATTTATGCTTGGCATTTATTGTGTCAAATTGCAGAGACACTCTTCAGACATTGAAGACCAGCATTCATCCCAGTGCCATTATGTTGCATGAGCCTTCTGTAACCAGGAAATATCTGCCTTTTTTCAACTTAAAGACAATTCCCCTATTATACAGTAATCCTCTGTCCAATGTTTTAAGAGGCCCGGAACTTCCCTCTCCTGTAATGTGTTATTTTGTGCATGTAAATGGTCTGCAAAGGCTCAAATCCTTGTGTTAATACTACAAACTTGTCTTACATCCAGGACATTGTCAAACCACACATTCCAGCCAGTACTTGGCTCTGCATCAGCCACTCTCTGGCTCGGTGGAATGAGCTCTCCATTGATGTAACGACAGCAGAAAGTCCACACAAATTCCGTCGCAAACTGAAAAAACACCTGTTTTGCTTGTGCCTCTGCCAATAAATAAATAATCATTGAACATTTATAAAAGTAGCAGTTACAAGTTTAACGCACAGCACTTAGTCCGACTCATTGAAGCGCATACAGTATATCTGCACTGTTCTTGATGTTCTGAGTTTGAATCTTTATGCTTTGTCGCTCACATTGTAAGTTGCTTTGGATAAAAGCCTCAGCTATATGTAATGGTAAACTTTGGTAAAATAAAAACCAAATACTGCAAATACTGTTATCCGTTTCAGTCTACTAATAAGAATAATGAAAAAACTGGTTGTATTTGTGATGAAGGAAACTTAAGCAGAAGCAGAATTCCTTTATCTATCCCACAAAGGGCATGCACATTGTATTTAAAGAAAGAACATTCAAATGTATAACAATTTACCAAGTACACATTTGGGTATACATCATGAATGATGATCACCCTGCTGAATATATATTATATCAATATATTTGTATCATTTTCAGCACACATTTCTATTTATATCTGATAACCCTGACAATTCTGGTCTCTTCTATATTGGATTATTCATTTGACTTCATATCATTTCATGTTTTGTCTCCTTTGAACGCCTTAGTCACACACAGTCACTGTGTTCTGCATTTACTGATTTCTCCTTTGCCCAGTTTCTGTTCGTATTACCCAAACACAACACGTCATATCGATTGAATTGTTCAAGTGTGGGAATATTGTGCACCATAGAACTGTAGTGTAGTATGAAAACTGGGGCTGGGAACACAACTGCTTTAAAAATGTGAATAGGATTATTATAGGCTGCAGTTACTAGACATATATGATGTGCAGTTAACAGATCCCTGTGGATTAGATGTCTGTCTGCGTATTACCATCATAATTTATGTTAATTATGATTATTTTGCCAATAATCTAATGTCACGATGCTGCTATGGAGGCGGATTTAGGTTATTGTTGCCCTTGAAATGAGAGCAGATGTTTGTGGTCTTAAATGTTGCCTCTAGGTGGCCATGTTGATCATGTTCTGAGGCTTTGTGCCCTCTTCCTGATCCAAGAACACATTTTGTCAAACAGCGTCTGATGAAGACAGTGCAGAATATGGTCAAAATCATATTCATTAAATAAATGCACTCCCTCCTGTTGAGGGTCATACAATATATAGATTTAATACAATAAAAAATGGCTTAAAGGAGTCTGTTCTACTCATTTTCAGGTTCATATTTTCCGTGTCTCTACTGTGACATGTCTCCATGCTTTAATGTTCAAAAAGCGCTTTATTGTTCTCATACTGCCTGTGCTGCAACACCTCTTTTCACCCTCTGTCTGAAACCAGAGCCCAGTCTGCTCTGATTGGTTAGCTGCCCGGCTCTGTTGTGATGTCAGTGATGTCACAATGTTAGGAAGAAAACAAAAGAGTCCAATGGAGTTAGAGGCCTCTTTAATGGAAGCAGCAGAGGTTGAATATTACTGATTTTTATTTTATATCATAGGAAACACAAAAACTATTCTGGATCCTACATATCCCATAATTCATCTCAATGGCACTTTTTCTTATCTTATATTTACATATATATATATATATATATATATATATATATATATTCTATAGCCACTTCTTTCTAAACCCTATATCTCTTCTCCTGTCTGTGGTCCAGGCTGTTTGTGGTCCAGGCTGTTTGTGGTCCAGGCTGTTTGTGGTCCAGGCTGTTTGTGGTCCAGGCTGTCTGTGGTCCAGGCTGTTTGTGGTCCAGGCTGTCTGTGGTCCAGGCTGTTTGTGGTCCAGGCTGTCTGTGGTCCAGGCTGTCTGTGGTCCAGGCTGTCTGTGGTCCAGGCTGTTTGTGGTCCAGGCTGTCTGTGGTCCAGGCTGTCTGTGGTCCAGGCTGTCTGTGGTCCAGGCTGTTTGTGGTCCAGGCTGTCTGTGGTCCAGGCTGTCTGTGGTCCAGGCTGTCTGTGGTCCAGGCTGTCTGTGGTCCAGGCTGTCTGTGGTCCAGGCTGTTTGTGGTCCAGGCTGTTTGTGGTCCAGGCTGTCTGTGGTCCAGGCTGTTTGTGGTCCAGGCTGTCTGTGGTCCAGGCTGTTTGTGGTCCAGGCTGTTTGTGGTCCAGGCTGTCTGTGGTCCAGGCTGTTTGTGGTCCAGGCTGTTTGTGGTCCAGGCTGTCTGTGGTCCAGGCTGTTTGTGGTCCAGGCTGTTTGTGGTCCAGGCTGTTGTGGTCCAGGCTGTTTGTGGTCCAGGCTGTTGTGGTCCAGGCTGTCTGTGGTCCAGGCTGTCTGTGGTCCAGGCTGTCTGTGGTCCAGGCTGTCTGTGGTCCAGGCTGTCTGTGGTCCAGGCTGTTTGTGGTCCAGGCTGTTTTGTGGTCCAGGCTGTCTGTGGTCCAGGCTGTTGTGGTCCAGGCTGTCTGTGGTCCAGGCTGTTGTGGTCCAGGCTGTTGTGGTCCAGGCTGTTTGTGGTCCAGGCTGTTTGTGGTCCAGGCTGTCTGTGGTCCAGGCTGTCTGTGGTCCA